TCTGCAAGGCGCGTGAGGGCCGCCAACATCGTGCAGCTCATCCAAATACAGCTCCTGGAGCAGGAGTTTTCCTAGCGAGACAGAAATAACCACGCAGTCGGGGGAAGACTCCACCTACAAGAATAAAGCTCTCGAAGTGATGTAAGGATGCATAGCACAGAGCCCGACAGAGGACTGCTTTCAAATACTATGGGCAAGTGTCAGTCACCGACAGACATCAAACAATGAGAAACCCTGTAACAGTGAAATACCCAATTGTGGTGTTTAAACTGTACGTGGGGCACAAAGACTGAGGGGTTAACCAGCATGTTGTACAGAGACAGGAAAAGATGGAAAATGCAAGTGCAACTAAAATCCTTAAAGGAAAACATGAGAGACTCCAACATACACTCACTAGGAATGAGCGAGTGGAGGAGCATTTGCAAGGACAAGAGCCAGGCTGGGGGCAAGGTGCAGCGGTCAGCACGCTGTCTGGGACCGCCGCTCCCATGGTGGAGGCCTGTGCTCCAGTGCTGGCTCTGCCTGTGCTCCCGGCTTCCTACCAGGTGCACCCTGGGAAGCTGCAGTGAGGCTCTGGGCTCCCAGCTTCGGCCTGGCCCAGCCCCGGCTGTTGCAGACATTTAGAGAGTGAACCAGAAAATGAAAGATATCTCTCTTCCTCACCCCCTCCCCTCCCCCTCTCCCCTCCTCCCCCTCCCTCCTCCTCCTCCTCCTCCTCCTCCTCCTCCTCCTCCTCCTTCTTCTTCTTCTTCTTCTTCTTCTTCTTCTCTCTCTCTCTCTCTCTTTCTCTCCTGTCTACCTTCCAAATAAATTAAAAAAAAAAGTAGAGGTGTTACTGGGGTCGGCACTGTGGCACAGCAGATTAAAGCCCTGACCTGAAGTGCCAGCATCCCATATGGGCGCTGGTTTGAGTCCCGGCTGCTCCTCTTGCGAACCAGCTCTCTGCTGTTGCCTGGAAAAGCAGTGGAAGATGGCCCAAGTGCTTGAGGCCCTGCACCCATGTGGGAGACCCCAGAAGAAACTCCTGGCTCCTTCAGATCGGCGCAGCTCTGGCCATTGCAACCATCTGGAGAGTGAATCAGCGGATGGAAGACCTTTTTTTCTCTCTCTCTCTCTCTCTCTCCCTCTCCTTCTCTCTCTGTGTAACTCTTTCAAGTAAATAAATAAATCTTTTTTTTTTTTTTAAAAAGTAGAGGTGTTACATGTGCTAGGCAATCAGGTGACTGAACAAAAACTAACTAAATAAAAGGACAGTAGCTGGAAGAAATGCTTCAGACATAAGGAAACACTGGCACCTGGTCCCAGGATAACAGCTGTAGACCCAGTGCAAAGCAATTCAACTAAAACTCCACGTCTGAATACATCACAGAGGACGGGCAGAGCTCCACGGACTACAGAGGAGACACGGACGACCCCTCAGAGATGGCACTGGTCACAACAGTGGACAGCTCTGTAGACACAGCAGGTGGCGGAGAGTGGAGGTCATTTGCTATCGCGGCCATTCCCTGAGAGAGGACTGTTGCTTCGTGATAGGCATAGCCACCGGAAAGAGGTAGACACACCTGAATGCCTATGCAGAAGGATTTCCGGCGCTGAGGAGGGAGGAAGCGAGGTAGCAGGAGACAGGCACAGGGGCAGGCACATACAGACAGCAAGCAAGCGACAGAGAGAGGATTCCTGGGTGGTGCAGGGTGCCGGAGAGCAAAGGCTACTGCTGGAGGTGAACGGGTCGAAGTCTATAGAGAGACCCATTTAAAAAGTGTTTACACAATGCCTGTTCATAACTACTTCTGAGAGCATTGCGAACGTGCATGATAGACAAACAATCAGCGAAACAGAAGGACGTACTGTTGTGGGACTGTGGACGAGACTGCGTTCTCCTTGCACTTTGCATTCTGAATTTTCTGCAGAGATTAGATAATGACTTCATAATCAGGGAAAATAAACTAAAATAGAAACAACTTTCATGTAAGTGGAAGTGCAATTTTCAGATAAGCACCCTTTCATGTAAATACAGGAAACTAGAAACTTCAGCCCCGGGAAGCATAAAATCATCGTGGATCTTGACCCAGCGCAGCCACACGGGGAGCTGCTTGCGATGCCACAGTAAGTGGGAAGGAGGAGAGCGTTCCATTTTCTAGGATGGTTTAGCCAGTCTCCACTCTGGGCAAGAAGGGGTTGTTGACGTGACAGCAAAGTAGGGGGTCAATGAGAGAGGAAAAAATGCATCCAAACCATTATTGGACATAAAACACGAGAAAGAAAATGAGAATTGTTGTCTTAGTTTCTCTTCTTTATAGATACACAGGGACGTTTGCAGGGAAGCGCATATATTTTAACACAAAGAACATCTTGGAAAGTCTTGGCCATGCATGCCGAGGCGGGGGAGGGGCTGATGGTGGGAAGAACATTCCAGAATGTTCAGGACTGTTCAGATGTCTGAACAGCTCCCAGCAGGTGCTAAGTCTTCAAAGTCCGTGTGCCGGGGCAGTGCTATGGCATAGTGGGCTAAGCCTCTGCCTGCACTGCCGGCATTCCATATGGACACCGGTTCATATCCAGCTACTCCTCTTCTGATCCAGCTCTCTCCTATGGCCTGGGAAGGCCAGTTAGGGGCAGTGCTGTGGCATAGTGGGCTGAGCCTCTGCCTGAGACACCAGCATCCCATATGGGCGGAGTTCAAGTCCCAGCTGCTCCTCATCCAATCCAGCTCCCTGTATGGGACAGCAGTGGAGAATGACCTGGGTGTTCCCTGCACCCACGTGGGAAACCTGGAAGAAGCTCCTGGCTACATGTCCTTTGTTTGGAAATTTCTTAGATGACAGTACTTTCAGAAGTTTGTGGAAGTTTATTTGGGTGCAAAAAATTGTTGAAATCCGTGAAACTTTTTTCCATAATCCGCATTGCCCTTGAACTTCCCGAACGCCCCTCACACAGTGCGATGGCAGAAGCCGGGCCACCCCGGGAGAGCGTTGCTTTACCCCTGCATTCACTCCTAAGACTTTCGGGACACCTGAGCCCACCTGGGTGCCCCTCGGGTAGGAAGAACGTGCTGACCGGCTGCTCCACCGCAGTGAGCCGGGTCCCCAGCCTGTCCCGGCTCCTCTTGCCTCTTATGCAGTCCGACACAATCCTCTTCTCTTTCCTTAGATAGCCTCCTACTTCTTGACCAGCTAAAACCCATTTCCAAAGTAACACCACTCTGCCTGCACTTAGGTCCCGAGTGTGCGTGTGAAGCCTGATCCAAGCAGCCCGCCATCCGTTCCCATCCTGCCCTTCCTGACCTCACCGTGTCAGGGCCGGGGCGCCAGACGTCCCAGCCCAAACCGCAGGTGCTGTTGTCCACGTCTCTCTCTGTCGCTCACTACTCACTTCCGGTCTGTAATCAAGCGCTGCTGACTCTCACTCCAAGTACACCTGGGATACATTCACTTACTTCCTACCTGCACGCCGACCCCTGGGCCTGGGCCACCGCCCCACCTGCTGTACCGTGGACAGCCTACCTCTCATCTGCCCGGACACCGTCCTGTGATTTGTCCTGGCATCGTCCTCACCTGTCTGATTTCCCCACGTGACTCCTGGCTGCCTGGAGAAGACTTCATGGGCTCTGTGGTCTCCGTCCCCTTGCCCTTTCACACGTCGTGGGGAACAGGTACCTCCTCTGGGTTGGCTGTCTGTTGTTGCCGTGAGAATAGAAGCCCAGTGAGGGCAGAGTCCTTGGCCATCTTGTTCACCGCTACATTCCCCGAGGCGAAAACAGGGCTGGCACACAGTAGGTCTTCCGTAAGCTCTTGATAAATACACGAGCAGGCTGAAATGTATTAGCATCCTCAAGCTCTCTGCTGGACTGTGACCACCTGGAGACCAAAGCAGCCGCGTGTGCACCTGTGTTTCTGCTACCTCCCACACCCCCGGGGCCTCAGTAAAGCATGTAGGTTGGTGAGAACTATGTCTGGAGATTTAAATCCACATGGACAAAGAGCTGATAAGTAGCCCACCTCTGAGCCTCTCGCCTCCATAAACACCAGAATCAGGATGGCACTTGGGGAGGGTTTACTGTGCACCAGGCACTAAGACACCACGCCCGTAGTGTTATCTCAGTTAATTACTGAAACAACCCAGAATGACAAGAGCTACTGGCATCCACACTTCAGGGATGAGAACACCCAGGCACGGAGGTCAAACACACGACCGCAGGAAGTGGACGAGAGCTGACATTGAACGCAGACTCCTCACCATCAGGGCTGCCAGGAATTCACCCGTTCCGCCCAGCCAGCCGGCCACCGCAGTGGGTCTTTTTTGAAGTCCTGCTGTCGTTTGCATCGTGGTGTGCAATGCCACTGGGCTCATGGGCTGTGTACATGTGAACCCACTACAGCGAAACACAGGGGTAAACCCAGCACCGGGGTCTCACTAGCCACATCCCTTCTCCACAACCCCACGTGGCTACCACAACACGGAGCACAGAGAAACTTGCCGCCATCCAACGCTCTCCTGCATGGCGGTGCCCGGGAGCACGGACCCTGGGAGGGCAAGCACCATACCCACAGCCGCCTGGGTTCTTTTCTGTTTTGTTTCGCTACGCGAGGCGAAAGGGGCGGCTCCAACTATTAGCTCGGCAGAAACCCTTAATGAAGATGAGCCTTCCGCTCCTAAGGACGTCTTTGCCTTCCGATGGGGAACGGGGATGTCTGATTGCGGATGAGTGAGCACTGACACACATCAGCTCTCCACCGCTCACTGAGTGGGAGCGGCTGGAGCGCCCGTGTCCCCAGTGCCGCTGCTGTGTCACACACGAGAGCCAGCTTCCGCCACTCGCTTCTTCTACTCCTAATTAGGGACATTTATTGTATTCTTTGTCCATATGGACTTTTTCTCAACAGATATATTTGACTACTTAGCAGTTCAGAACTTTTAATACCCTGGGGAGAAAGCTTGAAGTCAGAATCTATTAAGAACATTTGCAACACTCAAAGCCAAGTTTTCTTTTATTGTCTTTAATTTCTGCTTTTTTTTTTTTTTTTCAGGAACAGTTTTCAAATCCCATCACATCCTGGTGGATTTCCAGGAGCAAGTTAATCAACGCCTCCCGCTTCATTGCCAAGAGCCAGAGACCTTGTTGGCACGGAGCGCTGTGAGTTACGGCACCAGCATCCCACCTGAGCGCCGGTTCGTGTCCAGGCTGCGCCATTCCCAGTCCAGCTCTCTGCTCACGTACCTGGGAAAGCACAGAAGATGGCCCGAATGCTTGGGCCCCTGCCACATCTACGGTAGACCAAAATGGAGTTCCTGGCTCCTGGCTTCAGACTGGCCCAGCCCTGCGACTCAAAGCAGTGCCTATATGGGATGCCAGTGTTGCAGGTGGCAGCTTAAGCCTTTATGCCACAACACAAGCCCCCAGATCATTCGCTGTTTATCTGAAAGTCAAGCTGAGCAGGCTCTGTGCTGTGTTGTGTCTACAACCCGACCAACCTAAAGCATCAGGCAGAGACGGCCTGCTGCTCACAGCTAGGGCAGGGCAAGCAGGACTTGATGTGGGAGTAAGAGCAAAAGGTGGTGGGCAAAGGGAATGACACCTGTGCCTTCTGGAAACTTCTGTGAGACTCAGAAGGGCAGGACTCAGACTCCTGGGGGAGATGGGTGGCGACACACGGCACTGCCCACTTCCTGTGACTCCAGACCAGTGGCTGAAATTTGGGGGAGGTGGCTTTTAGCTTAGCTCTGGATATTTCCTCCCACAACCGGCAGTGCGTAAGTTTCACACGCATTTCCCACCCCTGAGAGGCCAAGGTGTCCATCACCATTTCTCTGCATTCTTGCAGCACTGCATCTGCCTTGGATCATGAACACATGGGGCCTCGAGATCCATGACCACTCCTAACCATTCACACACAAACACCCAGTGAGGGTCGATCGCGTTTCCAGGGTCGTGCTAAATATCTGGCTCAAGCCACTTGGAGGGACAAATAGAAGGAAGACTGGGGACCACTCCCAGGCCTGCCCCACTCAGACCCGCCTGGCTTTGTCTGTACTCCTGACCCCCACCCCACTACGCCCAAACAGGGCTCCAACAGGGGCAGGAGGCGAGAGCTAGATGCACAGGCCAAATTCCTCACACAGAGACAGAGAATTCGAAACACCTGTCGTGGTCCAGGGGCTAATGAGGAAATCAGACAGATTCGAAGGGGGCTCCGGGCAGAGCTGAAGCTCCGAGCACGCACTGCAGGCCAGCCTCCCACATGTCCACTGTGCTGGGAGGTTTGGAAGGCCTTGGAGATGGAGAGGAACGGGGAACCGCAGGGGAAGGAGGGGAGAGGCCGTGCTCTGCAGAGCCTCTGGCAGAGGGAGCGAGGGTGGGAATGAGAAAACACCCAGCCTCGCAGGACTGTTTATTGAGCAGCAGAGTAAGACGTTAAGTGAGAGCTTACGGGGCCGCGCATCCTCGCAGGGTAGCAAGCGATGATTCCGGAGCGCCGTATTATTGCTCGGTGTTTCCTTATCTTTTTCTCTCCTTACCTGATAATCATCTGTAGCTCTATCTGTCTTTTTAAGGACGTGTGAGAAAATAGAAAAGGTTAGGGAGGACAGCCAAGGAATCGCATATTATTACCTGCTTTCCAAGGCTCACTGCGCAGTTGTTTGTTTTTGATGAGATAACGGTGAAGATAGAATTGTTCAAGGCAAACACTGTTCAAATTTCATCCAGCCGCACTCCCCTCCCCCACGCGCGTGGACCCCCGCCCACCACTGGGGGCCCAGGGCCTCCGCCCGAGGAAGGATGGGTGCGAGGTCAAATGCTTGCCCACTGCAGCCAGTGGACTGTGTGGTGGGGACAGCGTGCGTTCCTGGTGAGCTGCCAGGTTCTGCCACGGGGAGCCCCAGATGAGCCTGACTGTTGCACCCTTTGTACGCTGGCTTTTCTCAACGCAGTGCCCTCTTGCCGTTCCCTGCCCACCTGCACCCCTTAAAGACTCCTTTTACTCTGTGCCGCCTTCCACCGTCACCCCACACGGCCCATCCCTTTCCCTCTAGGACTCTCAAGCCCCCAGAGTGTAGGGATCCCCAAGAAGGTGACTTGTGTTTTACTATTGACCGAATGTCACCCTCAGCACATTAAAGCCTCCAAGGCCTCAGCTGGGGGCAGGCATTTGGTCCAGCAGTTAAGCCAACTTGGGATCCCCACATCCCATACGGGAGTGCCTGGTTCTAATCCAGCTCCACTTCCGATGCTGGCTGCCCACCAGCTCACACCACGGGAGGCAGCAGGTGGTGGTTCAAGTACCTGGGTCCCTGCCACCCATGCGAAGAGCTGGATTAAGTTCCTGGCTCCTGACTTCAGCCTGGCCCAACCCAAGCTGTTATGATCACATGGGGTGAACCAGTGTCTCTCCTTCTCTCTCTCTGTAACTCTGACTTTCAAATAAATAAATAAATAAATAGGTCTTTAGTAAAAGGCGAAAGATTTATACGACCTGAAGAGAAACCAGAGTATAATAAACAGGTCTTTAAAAAAAGAATTTGGGGGCAGCACTGTGGCATAGCAGGTTAAGCCACTGTCTACAGTGCCCGCATCCCAAGTGGGCACCAGTTAGAGCCCCAGATGCTTCTCTTCTGATGTAGCTTTGTGCTAATGCTCCTGGGAAAATAGCAGAAGATGGCCCAAGTGCTTGGGCCCCTCACCCACGTGGGAGACTCGGAAGAACTCCTGGCTCCTGCTCCTGGCTTCTGGCTTCAGATCATCCAGCTCTGACTGCTGCAGCCATCTGGGAAGTGAACCAACAGATGGAAGACCTCTCTCTCTCTTTCTCTCTCTCTCTCTATCTCTCTCTCTGTGTAACTCTGCCTTTCAAATAAATAAAAATAATTCCTCTTTAAAAAATGTTAGTTCATCAGTTTAAAAAAATGAAAAAAAGAATTTAGGATACACATACAGAACAGAGAGGATATATGTAACATTACATAATTTTACATACTACATAATATTATGAGAATAGCTCTTACAGTCTACAGAAGTCTTACATGAAGAGTGATAATTCGATTAGAGAGAAAAGTCCTAATTTGGATTATTTGGACACTGGCTGAGCTCCAGTCCTGATTGTCAGTCCACGCATCTGTCGACAACCAAATTTGTACATCAGATTATGTGGAGTCGTTCCAGAAACCAGCCCTGCACTATTCAAGGGATCTAGAAAGAATAGGCAATGGAATTATGCTGATTTTTAAATATAATTTTCCAGTAGTTTAAAAAGAATAAGTTTTTCATTTGAAAAGTCAGCAGGATCAGCAGGCAACTACATTCTGTTTTAGTTGGAAACCAGTGGGTGGGATTATAAAGCCACATTTTTTTTCCTAAATAGAATGAGAGAAGCAGCAGATCTAACATGCGGTAATCAGCCAAATTTCTTTTTTATAAAAACAGGAGTAAAGAGGTGGGATTTTTGTTATACGGCGACTTTTGTAATCTCACAGGACAGAGGCGAGTCCCTGTGCTGATCTCAGTTCCCTTTTGTTGTTCAGAGACTTTCCCCTGGGGGCCACCGTAGCGGTGCAGTGAGTTAAGCCACAGCCTGGACCACACACAGGAGCGCTGGTCCTCGTCCACGCAGCTCCGCTTCCCATCCAGCCCGCTGCTGCTGCGTCCGGGATAGCAGGAGCAGATGCCCCGAGGACCTGGGCCCTCCCACCGAGGTGGGAGACGTACGTGGAGCTCTGGGCTCCTGGCTTCAGCCCAGCCAGCCACAACGATTGTGGTCATTTAGGGAGTGAACCCGCTGCTGTAAGATCTCTCTCTTTCTTTCTCTCTCCTTCCCTCTCTTCTTCTCTCTGCCACTTTGTCTTTCAAAGAAATATAATAAATCTTTAAAAAAAAAAAAAACTTTGGAGGAAGGTCAAAAGAAAATCCCCTGAAATCCCGGGAATCTAAAAAATCAAGGATTATGATGCCGAAGTGGCTCATGGCTGTTTTTTTTTTTTGTTTGTTTGTTTTTGTTTTTGTTTTTGTTTTTGTTTTTGACAGGCAGAGTGGACAGTGGGAGAGAGAGACAGAGAGAAAGGTCTTCCTTTTGCCGTTGGTTCACCCTCCAATGGCCGCCGCGGCCGGCGCGCTGCGGCCGGCGCACCGCACCGATCCGATGGCAGGAGCCAGCAGCCAGGTGCTTTTCCTGGTCTCCCATGGGGTGCAGGGCCCAAGCACCTGGGCCATCCTCCACTGCACTCCCGGGCCACAGCAGAGAGCTGGCCTGGAAGAGGGGCAACCGGGACAGAATCCGGCGCCCCAACCGGGACTAGAACCCGGTGTGCCGGCGCCGCTAGGAGGATTAGCCTAGTGAGCCGCGGCGCCGGCCGCATGGCTGTTTTTATACCGAAGTCAGAGGGGCAACTATCTTACCAGGTCTCAAGTGTCCCCATGGCCAGGGATCCCACAGCCAGGGGGCAGCTCAGAGCCAGTGGCTCCCTGGACTGAGGGGGAGGGAGCTGTTGGGCCAGGCACAGGAGGCATCGCCACTGAGAGTGGATTCAACCGGGGCTCACACACAACCCGGGACCTGATGAGGGGAGCCAGGCCCAGAGCGGAGAAACAGGGTCACCCAGTGGCAGTGGGCGGGGATGGAGCTGGTCCTATCAGCCCACGTCCTTCCTTAGCCTCGAATTTCAGTCCGACAATTAACTTCCCTGGACAAGGGTCTTTGGCAGAGTGGGGCCTGCAAGGTCCACACTTTCATGGTTTGAAGACTGAATAGCAAAAATCACACAAAGATTCACTCGAAATCTTGACACGTTGCCCACAGGGCAATGCAAATATACACGGTCTATGCGCAAATCACTCAAGATCCAGGCGGGGCTGGCACGGTGGCGCAGTAGATTAATCCTCCGCCTGCAATGCAGGCATCCCCTATGGGCGCCGGTTCTAGTCCCAGCTGCTCCACTTCCAATCCAGCTCTCTGCTATGGCCTGGGAAAGCAGTAGAGGATGGCCCGAGTCCTTGGGCCCCTGCACCCCTGTGAAAGACCCGGAGGAGGCTCCTGGCTCCTGGCTTTGGATCGGCACAGCTCCAGCCATTGCAGCCATTTGGGGAGTGAACCAGCAGATGGAAGACATCTCTCTTTCTCTCTCTCTCCCTCTCGCTGTCTGTAACTCTACCTCTTAAATAAATAAATAAAATCTTAAAACATAAAAAAAGTTCCAGGCAGGGCAGGACGTACACAGCAGACCGGGGAC